CCATACCTGGTGACAGACTTAGACTTCTAAACCTGTGGCCAGCTCATGCTCACCATGTGACACTAAGAAAAACAACTGTTCGATAGTTTTTTTACTTTCCAAATGTAGATAAATATAGATGCAAAAACTTCTGTTACTGGAATTCTAGTAAAAAAGGAGTCTCTTCTAGTGATAGAATATTTATGGATCTCTTTTTGTATCTGCTTGGTAAGAAATGTTATCCTAGTTTAGTTTGATTTAGTGTCAGCATTAATTCAATATTTTGTTTATTCCAACCTCAAGCATTTTGGAGAATGAATGCATTAAACACAAAAAATATCCTGGAGGATATTAGAATCCCTTTGAATAGACCAAAGCTTACTTACAGCCCCAAGGAATGAAAAAAAACCTCAAGTTTCATCACCAAAGACAAGCCTGAGTTTAAAGTTATTATTAATGGCTGTAACTATATGACTATGATTTCCCTGTAGCTATTTTCAACTTTATATGTGAAATAAGTAGGTTTTTGAAAATGATGTTATAACAAAGGCAAATGGAGCTAATGTTGATAATGTTATTATACCTTCAAAACTTCACACACTCCATTTCACCATTATCACTTTTAGCCTGGTTACCAATAAAAAGTGTACATTCCTATTTCTAGGTGTTTGGAAACAACTAGCTATGTGTTGTTACTTTTCAGTGAGAATGAAAAAGTCCCAAATTGTCATTAGAGTCTTATAGAAATGGCATTTTTCCCCCTATAGAAACTGAACTATATATCTCAATACTGCCCATCCCCAACTGTGTCACAATCTGTCACATTACAACATATGAAGCAGCAGTACTGAGTTATGGTGGGCTGCCTGCATCAATGAAGGGATATGGAGTTAAACTTGTAGGTTATCTTTTTCAGGAAAAATTCATTTTCCTCAAAAATTTTTATTAATGGCAAGTACCAGTGACAGGGTTAGATGCCAATAAATATCCAATTTTGAAAAAGGGGTAAAATTTTATAAAAATTATTCACCTTCCCAAGAATAAATCTATTTGGTTTATCTCACCAAGCTATACGAGTTTCTGTCAACCATCTGTTTGAAGAAGCTGATTTTCCTTTCTCACTGACATTCCTGTAACTACCTCAGCCCATCCTACTCTGGAGAAGCAACTTCGAATTTTGGGAATGAAGATGTGGTTCGTATATGTTTGCCAACGGCATAGCAAAATTGGACTGGAAAAAGGTGCATTGACATGCACGGCTTCATTTAGTGATAAGCAAATCTTATGACTATAAATGATTAAGAAGCAGGATATTGAATGGCATTGTGAAAAAGTTTTATATTTTCTAAGAAAAATTAGACTTAGAATTTTTCAGTAAACTTTGGCATTAGTTACAAATGGAACTTTAAATGTTTCCAAGAAACATTGCAGACAATTATGTTTACCAACACAGCTGAGGCATGAAATTAGTAGACATCTTCAAATTTGGGGAGAGAATCAGGCTTCTTTTAATTTATTTGGCTTTGACTCTCCCCTTCAAAATTAGTCCAGTGATAATATTAGAAGCAAGCGGAGATTTATTATACTTACTGATGACTTTTAATCATGCCAGTTGGCATTGGAAAGGAGTAATTTTTTAAGAAATGAATGCTCAGTTACTTTGGACTGTAGAACTACACTTGAGGGAAACATCACGTGAAATAGTGATCTTTTTTCATTAGGTTTTACTTTAGAGAAACCTTATGGGTGTAAAAATGAGAGAGGCTTCTGTTCCCACTGCTATTGCATGAAAGTCTAGATGTAAACCGAAGCTGGCAAAGTTCGTGATAACTAAATAGCTCAGATATGCACACACACCATGTTTCTGCAATCTCAGAGAAATATCAGATCAAGCAAACAAATCGTAGGAACGCCTCTACATGAGGAAAAGACTTGAGCATGTACCATAGATTGGTATCAGATTGATGTGGGTTAGCTCCCAGTTCTGACACTTACCGACTGTGTGATCTTGAGCTTTAACTTCTAAAATTTTGTTTCTTCATTTACAAAATAATAATAATAGTAGTAGTGCTTGTATTATTAAGATTATTTTGAGGAATAAATAAGATACATGCAATACGCTTAACATCTGGTTCATAATAAATTCTCAGTGAATGTTAGCCATAATTTTTATATACCATTATGATTATCACTTGTTTACTGGATAAGATCAGTTTATTTAAAATTTTCTTCATTTTTAAAAAATGCTTCAAAGCCAGACGTGAACTACATAGATTTTTAGCTTCAAGTATACCAAAAATGTGACAAGATAAAAAAGAAAGTGATAAGAAGTATGTTAATAAAGTAAAATATTATAGTTCGATTTAAAAAATTATTTACCATTTGTGGCAACATGGATGAACTTGGAACACATTATTCTAGGTGAAATAAGCCAGACACAGAAAGACAAATACTGTATGATTTCACTTATACATAAACTAAAAATGTCAGACTCTTAGAAGCAGAGAGTGGAATGGTGGTTGCCAGGGACTGAAGGTTAGCAGAAAAGAGGAGATTATGGTCAAAGGGTACAAACTTTCAGTCATCAGATGAACAAGTTTTGGGGATGGTAATGGTATTGGTAATGGATGTATTAATTAATTTGATTGTGGTAATTACTATGCAATGTATATGTATACCAAACCATCACCTTTTATGCTTTAAATACATTCAATCTTTATTTGACAATTAAAAAACTTATTTTTCTTAATGTGATTTCTATTGATTGGATCTGCCAAAAAGTTTTACCCTAAATGAAAGATATTAATTATAGATGTAATTGGCTCGTGTTTGGATGTATGCCTACAGAATTGGACAAGCACAAAAGTCACCTAACTTTGATATTCTGTATCCTCAAACGAACTGAAGAATTGGAGAATGTTATCCTTTACATCCCTGAACAAAGCAATGGGTAAGGCTGTGACACATCCTTTCAAGTGTTTTTAAAAACAACAGGCCATGCGAAACCTCAAGTGTGTGGGATAGCAACTAGTGTGGTGTACTTAGAATACAGGCTCAGCAATCAGACAGATTGAAGGCCTGGTCTTTACTCAGTCATTTATTAGCTGCATGATTTTGGGCAATTACTTGTCCTCTCAACTTTAGTTTTATCATTTGTAAAATGAGTTAATGATAGCATGTATTTTAGAATATGGTTTTAAGTATTAAATGAGCCAATACACGCAAAACATTTAGCATAAAGTTGGGCATCTTGTAAGTGATCAATAAATATTAATCATTTTCATAGTTTTACTAATTTCATTGACTTTTTTGGCTGAGCTGCTGTAATCATTTTTATTATTGCTTAAAGTATGATGCTGATGCGGTCATCAGTGTAAGCTGCCCTGTAAAAGGTACTTTGTACCATTTATAATTTATGCTATGTGTTGAACTGGCTAATAAATTGGGAAAGTATGAAGGTTCTGTACCAAAGGAATAATTGCAGAATAACTTGGATTATTTTCTAAGTTTTCCTCCATGCTTGGAGAAGCATGATTTGATGAGAGAAATTGGAAACATCATTTTCATAAATGGATGAAATAATGACTGCCTTTAGCATTACTAGTTGAATTTGATTTGTATAATACAAGCAAATCAAAGAAAAATACTCTATTTCTTTATAGATAATTAATTTTTGATTTTATTTTTTAGTATTATGCTATAATAGTTTTCTGGCTATTAATGAACTTCATTTTCATATTTTTTTAAAGGCAAGAATTCTTATGCTTTCTTTTAAGGACAAATTAAATCCTTAAGGAATTCCCTGACATAATTAATTATTCTAATTTTGGATTGCCAGCATTTTGAGAAATGAATGGAAAATTCAAACTATTTTGTTTTTGGATGAATAAAACATTTTCAGGGAAATTTTCCTTAAAACAATATATAGAACGTTATGTCCTTTTTTTTTTTGTCTTTTTTCGTGTCTGGCAACGGATCGCAACCCTCAGTGTCGCGCCCGTACCGGACCGGGACCGGCAACGGGATCGCAACCCTCGGTGCTGCGTCCGCACCTCGCTCAGCCAGTGAGCGGGAACCGGTCTGTATGTGGGATCTGAACCCTCGACGGGAGCGCCGCCACGCTCCCAAGCGGTGCACTGTAGCAGTGCGCCACTGGGCCGGCCCGAGAACGTTATGTTCTAACAAGGTAGCAATTGCATTGCAGTTTTGATCTTACAGTACAATACCATGAAAGCAAAACTGGCCCTGGTGAATCAAAGGCCTTTGGTCTCTAAGGGCTCATGTGAATTGCGTTTGTGAATTGAGGCCCTGACTTCGGTAACTTTTGGGATTTAAGTAAGTGCACATAGTTAATGATCATATCCTATCATTGGAACTGCAGCTAGAAAAACAGTAGCAATAATGACCACATTAACTATAACGTAATGAAGAGAAAAAAAGAGTGTGGTTACCAGGTTTCATCTACTGATTGCTACCCTTCTTCCCCCACCCCCAATCACCTGAGAAGTTGCTTCAAAAAATTTGTGGAAAAATAGAATTAAAAGATAATACAAATCATTCCATGAACTTTTTGAAGTACCCTCGTATCTATCTCTCAGTCATCTATGTCTCTATTGAACTATTTACTCTGGCAGTACATAATAGTAACTTATCAAAATTGAAATATATATATATATTTCTCTTTTTTAGTATGACTCCTTTTTCCTTACTCTTCATCATGTTGTTCAGATGTATTTATTCTTTATGGAGGTTAGAATTCTGAAAACGTGTTATCCTTCCCAGAAAATGTGGGAAGCAGCGTTCAAATTATAGCCAAAATGTTATTTTATAAAAAATTCTCTACCACTACTATATTTTCTGGAATTGGACTATCCTGTGGTACTCTGCAGTATCACAAAAATTAACCCTTTACTCAAAGAGAGGTTGTAAATTTATTATCAGAAACCACATATTTATTTTCAGAATGCTTTGGCCACTCCCATCATTTCTCATACTTTGCGGCTACTGGAATCTTTGTCTACTTACTGGATGGAGCTTTCAATGCGGGTGATAGTGAGGAAAGCAGCAAGGTTTGCTGTGTAAGATGAGATGACAATCAAAGCAAAAAGCCACCAAGCCCCCATCATCATTCGGGTAGCCAGAGTCGTGTATGGGACCTCCCCACCTGTGGAAAGGAGCAAGGAGATTAAAAGAACATCAACAAGTATTTATTGAGAATCTGACTCATTCAATACCAAATTAACTTTAAGTAGTGAGAAATCTTTCTTATTAACACCATCAGCATAGATCTCTGTATTTGCATCGCTTCATATTTAATTCTCTTTTTTGAAGCTATGTGAGACCAAGTCAAAAAGAAATGTAATAAATATTTAGTATAACTTGTCATGTTTAAATGATAGTTCTTCCCACCTTCCTGTTCAATCCTAGAATTAATCATCCTCTTATTACAATCAGAGATATATACTTTCTTTCCAAGTGCTTGATTATTCATTAGTTAGGTGATATTAATACCACTCTGTCTATATTTAAAATAACCATTCAGATTTCCAGTTAAATAAATAATATTGAAAAAGTATTTAGATTAAATTCTCTAGAAACATAGGTTGTTAATGATTTGGGGATAATACATATTGCTATTGACTTCAGCATCATCACATTTGCTTTACTCTACTTCCAATTGACTAGTCACTTTTACAATCTTGTTGCAGGATCCTCCTCCCTACCTTGTAATTGCTGGAGTGCCCTTGGGCTAAGTTCTAGACTACTTCTGTTTTCTGTCCACATTCCTACCCTGGGTAATCTCAACAAGTCTCCTGACTTTGAACATCATCTATGATACACTTTGATAATGTTCAAATTTATATTTCAAGGCTCACGCTCTCCAGAGAACTATAGATAAAAGCCTACATGATTTCTACTTGGAATCTAATGAGCATCTCAACCTTATCACATCTAAAATAGAACTCTTCTTTTTTTTTTCCTCCCAAATTAACTCCCCTCCAACCTCCTCTATACCATGTCAGGGAATAGCACTGCTATTCACCTCATTTTTCAGAACAAAAACTGAGGAATTTTCCAACATCCCACCCAATAGCAAGTCCTGTCACATTTACCTTTAAGTTATATCCAAAATGCTATCTCATCACATTACTTCCACTGCTGACACCCAATTTCAAGCCAATATCTTCTTTTGTTTGTACTTCTGAACCACTTATATGGTTTCCCAAGTTGCACTCTAAAAAGTACCATTCCTAAATCTATGGTGCTCTTAAAAATGGATTTCAGATCCTGGTATTCCCCTGATCAAACCTTCCAGTGACTTCCCATTGCTCATAGAAAAAAAAAAAAATCCAAAATCTCTATGAAGGCCCACCAGTATCTACATGAACTGATTTTAGGCCAATTGCCTGACCTTATCTCTTATAATTCTCTCAAAGGCTTTCTTGAAATCTCTTCTATGAACCATGCCAACCTCTTCCCCAGGGCCTTTGCACTTGCAATTTTTTCTTCTCTTTAATTCACAAATGCCTTCTCCATTCAATTTATTAAGGTTTCTGCTCAGAGGACACCTCTTTACAAAGATCTTTTATCACCACTCTACTTAAAATAACTCCCCATGACACAATTTATTATGTTTTACATATTTTTGTTTGCTTCTCTCCCTTATGGTATAATTTCTGATGTTGGAACAATCCCCACTCCATATTAGGTGAGTAAGTATTTGTTAAACGAACATATGCTATGTTATGGATTGAATTGTTGACCCTCCAGAATTTATGTGTTGAAACCCAAACCCCCAATGTGGCTGTTTTTGGAGACAGGACCTTTAAAGAGGCAATTAAGGTAATATAAAGTTGTAAGAGTGGGCCTTCCTCCAGTTTGACTGGTGTCCTTGTAAGAAGAGGACACCAGTGTACACATGCACAGAGGAAAGGCTGTGTGAAGACACAGCCAGAAGGCAGCCATCTGCAAGACAAGCAAAGGGGCCACAGGAGAAACTGAACCTGCTGACCCCTCAAACTTCCAGCCTCCTGAACTGTGAGGAAATACATTTCTGTTGTTAAGCCACCGAGTTTGTAATATTTTGTTATGGTGGCCTTATCAGACTAATAAATGCTGCATATGAAATTTTAATAGGCCTTCTAGAAGAAATGGCACAGTAGAAATAAACCAAAGAGTTATGACACTGCCTCCACCTAGGTCCATCAATAAGTGAATGACTTAACAGGATTCAATTAACTATAATATCAGGCATATTTTTATTCCAACCACAACTTCTCACTATGTAATATCTTTAAATTTTAAATGTAGTGCAAACACACCCTTTGGTTATGTTCTGAGCTATTTTCCTGATGTGATATACTCAGAACAGGCTAACTTCTGATATCTGGAACACATTTTTCAAAAGCAGTTATAATGCATTTTAGATACTTTCTTCTTCAAAGCAGAAGAAATATCCACTCAGCTTTAAAAGATGAAAGTAAAAGAAAATATTTATTTTTGAAAACCACAGGGAATTTTCTGGGCAAAACAACTAATTGAAAAAAATAACAAAATGTAAACAAGATGATAGTTAAGGACTAAAAGATGTTAATATGTATAAGAAAAGGAGAACAAAAAATTCATGACTGCAAAGGCTAATTGGAGGCTCGTTTCCATAAAATCTTTAGCCTTGATTAGAGTAGTTATCACAAATATGAAAGAATATTTGTTGTGTTTATTAATCTGTGGTATAAAATATACAACTTAGGTTATGCAAATATTCTTGTAGAATCCAAATAAAATGCTATTTTTTTGACATCTACACTTAGAAATCAAATACTAAAAGTAATGAAAATTTTGACTTCCAATTTTGGTAATGATGGACCAGGAAATTCAGAACAATCTTCCCGCTGATGACAACCAGAAATATTGAGCATATAAAGCATATAAAGAGCTAAAGGCTAAAGAGGTAGGTATAAATTAGAGGACCAAACTCCAGCAGAAGAAGATAACCTAGAGGGTGACTAGTATTTGGGACTGCTTTTCCCTGAGGGGCATATGCCGATTTAAAATGAGGAGGATAAGAGACTAAGAAGTTGAGCAATGCCTTCAAAAGAAGCCTTCAAAGGTGAAGTAGTTACAAAAATTAAGGATCAGGGCTTGCCAAGTGGCAGTGGGACTGAGAAAACCAGAAAATCCTTATATGCTTGGAAATTAATAGTTCCATTAAGACATTGGTCAAGGAAAAATGACAAGAGAAATAAAAAATATTTTGAATTGGATGATAATAAAAATACTTCATATCAAAATTCCACAAGAATACACCATTTCAAAATTACACGTTTTGATAGCTGGTTAAATGTAGCTAAATTTGTGTTTAGAGGGAAATTGATAGCTGGTAATGTATAAGAAAAGAAGGTGGAAAATCAGTGAGTAGCACATTGATAAAACAAAAAATGTCAAGTTAAACCTAAAGAACACAGAAGGAAGGAAATAAACTTAAGAGCAAAATTTAATAAAATAGACAAAAAACACAAAACAGAAAGTTGATCCAACAGAAGTTTAGTCCTTTCAAAAAAACCTGGAAATAGCTGTTAAGATTGATCAAGAAAATAAGTGAAGGCACACAAAAAATACAGGAGGAATAAAAAAGGTACACTGTTATGGTTGTTACAGACATTAGAAAGATAACAAGAGGATCTTAAGTAAAATTTTATGCCAATAAATTTGAAAATTGAGATGATATGGACAAATTCCTAGGAAATTGCCACCAGAAGAAACAAAATTTGAATGGTCTTAAGACTATCAAAGACTTTGAATCCTGATTTAAAACTTATGTACCAGAAAATTTAAGGCCAGTGACCTTACTGGTAAAAGCTACCAAATATTTGGGGAATAATTAACCTTAATTTTACATAAACTCCTGAGATTAGAAAAAAGCAGGACACTATTCCACCCATTTTATAAAGAGAGCACATCTTTGATAAACAAAACCTGCCAAGATCATTCTAAGAAAGGAAAATTTCAGGTCCATCTTTAACATGGTTGTAGATGCCAAAGACAAATAAATTAGCAAACTAAAAATTACATAAGCAAACAAACAAACGGGTTGGGTTTATTATATAAAAGCAAGATTGGTTTGGCATTCAAAAATCAATCATTGTTAACTTTCTACGTTAGTACTAAAAGAAAAATCATAAGATCATCTTGGTAGATGCAGAAAAGGCATGGATAAAATTTAACATCCAGTATTAAAAACAAATAAAAACCTAGAAGTAATACTGCAAACTAGAAATAAAAAAACCCTTTCTTATTTTCATAAAGTGTACTTTTAGAAGACCTATAGAAAATATCACACTTATTAATAAAATAAAATTTCTGACTGTGTTAAAAAGTACAAGTTGTTACCATTTCTATTCAACATTAAATTGAAAGTGCTAAACAATGTAGTGCAACAAGCCCCCCCCCCAAAAAAAACCCCAAAATAAACAACAGCAACAACAAAAAAACAGAAAAAGAAAAAAAAATTTAAGAATTAAAAAGAATAAGATGAAAGTTATGTAGTTTTGTACTGGTGGTGATATGAATATGTATGTAGCAAATCCAAAAGAACAAAGAATAAATTACTAAAATGAATAAGTTACCAGCTTACTTTGGTACAGAGTCAATGTTGGAAAATCAATCATATTTGTATATACCAGCAACAAACACTTAAAACATAGAATTTAAAAATATATACAATTTGTAATAGCATGAATAATACCAAACACCTAGGAATAAACCTATTTAAAGATGTGAAAGATCTTTACAGGGAAAACTACAAAACTTTTAAAAGTGAAATATAATAAGATTAAATAAATAGATATATCATGTTCATTGATTGAAAGGACTCAATACAGCAAAGATACAAGTTCTCCTCAAATTGATTTATAGATTCAGTCAGTAAATTGCCAATTGAAATTCCAGGTCCTCTCTCTTTCTCTCTCTCTGTCTCTGTGTGAAGGTAAATGTAAAATTTATATGAAATTTTAAAAGGACAAAAATAGCCAGGACACTCTTCAAGAAGAAGAAAAAGGCTGGTTCTAGCTGACACTGTAGCTTTATACAGCAATTAAGACAGTTTGGTATTTGTACAAGGGTAGACCAAATAGATCAATAAGAATTATCCATGCACACATGGAC